GCTTAGTGAACCAGAATGTGCGGCTAATCCAACCTTACATCTGAGGATTTGGGGGCCAGGTAGCTGGGTATCGCCCCTCATGGAGGGAGCCGGAAACACAGTGTCAGCAATAATAGATGGGGCTGAATTAGCTGACACAATGGGGGAGGTGAATGTCTGGATGGGCTGAGTTGCATTCAACTGAGCAGACGCCATTAAAACAGCGTGGGTGATGGCCTCCTTGGTTGGAGGGGGCCCAGCGGGTTGGTGGGAGGCAGCGCACACAGAGCTGTTAGGCGTGCAGGTTGCAGAAGTGCGATCAGGTGAACTGGCGCTAGTTGGAGTAGCTCCAGGTTGGGGGGTGGTGCCTGCTTTCATGGCTGCTGCTTGAGAGCGGGTGATTCTGGTTGACCCTGAGGTGGGTAACCGAGGGTTGCTTCGTTTGGGGGTGGTGCTGGCTCATTTGGCATAGCCTGCGGGTTCTTTTGCGGGGTTTCCCGCCATATTTGCTAATAGTTTTCGTAAATCTCTTTAGTGGAGCTAAATTTCAGGCTGAATTGATTTTCGAAAAGTGATGCTTAGCAGAAAGAGATAGCTTCGAGGTGTTCACGTCTCCACCCATTTCAAAGCACACCGATCCCACCAAACTGTACATTGTTGCATGTGATGCCTCATTGGTTGTAGTGGGAGTGGTGTTGCTTCAGGAGCACGATGGTTTAGAGCACCCAGTCGCTTACTTTTCCTGTAAGTTCACAGCCACGGAGCAATCTTGGGCCATATATGACAAGGAATTGGCAGCTGTTGCATGGGCATTAACTCATTGGCAGTATTTGTTGCAAGGTGCCCGCCATGAATTAACAGTCCGCATGGATCACCAGGCCCTTTTTTATTTTTTCAAACCCTAAAAATTGGCACATCGGCAGGCCCAAACCTATCAGGACCTGTGCAGTTTTAACTTTAAATACAAATTCATTAAAGGTGCACTCAATGTACTTCCCAATTTCCTAAGCTGCAGTCCTGCCCACAGTCCTTCGGAACCAGAGGAAGTGTATCTCGTTACCATGATTCCTGCTGCTCAAATCCTGTTGATCATTCCCCCTATTGTTTCCTCTATCGCTTTGGCTCCTGACGCCCCGCTAGTGGCTCAGGTCTTAGCCAGTCAAATGGCCTGCCCTGAGGGCGTGGAGTTGGTCGAGCACTTGGCTCACTCCAGTCACAAACACTCCCTATATTCCTTAGAAGAAGGACTCATTACTTCCAGTCGCGCATCTGGGTTCCTCCCTCCTTCTGATTGAGGGTATTCCATGCACATTATGATCCCCTCACAGTTGGACATCCTGACAACAAAAAATGCATCGATTTGATCAAGAGAACCTTCAATTTGGCAGGCCTGACAAAAGAGGTTCCAGCTTGGATCACTGATTGTGTTACTTGCGCTAGGGCCAAGTTGGATTGCTCTGGAAAAAGTGGCCTCTTGCACCCCTTACAGAAGGCGGAGGGCCCATGGACCTCATTGTCCGTGAATTTTATTGTTGAACTCACCTGTTCTAATGGGTTCACAGCGGTGATGGTAGTGGTGGATTGTTTCACGAAATTTTCCCTTTTTATACCTTGTACTTCTGCAATTATGTCAGAAGAAACTGCCCATTTGTTTGTATGCCATGTGTTTTCGATGTTTGGTCTCCCCCAGGAGATCATCAGTGACTGGGGCTCACAGTTCACTGCGCTGTTTTGGAGTGAACTCCTATTGATCCTAAAAATATCCCCCTTTTGCTCCATGGCATATCATCCTCAGTCCGACAGATAAACTGAGCAGGTCAATCAAGTCCTAGAACAGTACCTACATTGCTATGCTACAGCCATGCAGGATACTTGGGCCGGTGACTTGCCTCTCACTCAATTTTCTTATAACAATGGGACCCATGCGTCCACGGGGTTTTCCCCCTATGAAGCAACGTTGGGTTTTAATCCTTTGTTTACAGTTAAACCATGCTTGCAGCCTGAGGTTCAAGCTGCCGCGGACCACACTGACCATATCAGATTGACTCAAGCCTTATTGTGTGAACACCTCACCAAAGCCATCAATGACTACAAGCGGTTCATGGATCATAAGCATTTTCTGGGTCATGATTTTATGGTGGGTTCCTACATCATGCTCGATACCTGTCATTTAAGGATTCAGACCCATTCCCATAAATTCGCCAGTAAACGCATGGGTCCACATTTAGTGGAGGAGGTATTGGGTAACAGAGCATTCAGACTGAAACTCCCTGCGCATTGGAAGCAGCACCCTGTTTTCCATGCTTCCCAGCTGTCGCCCTTCAAGGGTACAATTCCCATGGAACTGGAACCAATCATCATCAATAATGGGTAAGAAGCTGAGGTAGAGGCTATCCTGACATCCTGGAAGTCGTGTCATTCCAACCAATATCTAGTGGCCTGGAAAGGTTTCCTAGCCTACAAAAATAGTTGGGTCAAGGCACGCGATTGTGTGAATTGCATGGTCCTGGTCAAAGCATTCCATATATCCCACCCCGATGCTCCCCAACCCCCCAGAAAGTCATGACAATTATGGCAATCAAGTTACCCAAAGCACACAAAAATATGGCTCTGGTGCAGTTTTCCGGTGGGGGTGCCCTTCCTTTAGAAAAAGGAAAGGATAATGTAAGTCCCGAGAACATCCCTGGCAGTTGATCAGGCCATTTTCCCATTCCTGAGTAAGAAGACACCAAAGAGGATGGCAGTATCTCTCGTTACTCAGGGCGATCTCGCTCACATAGTAGATGAACGGTGTGTAACAGCTCTTCCGCTTCAGATCCCACCCCTCAGTACCCACACTCACCTCAGCAGAACTGTTATGGGGAATTATAAAAATCTGTGTCAAGATTGTCAAATTGAAATTGATTGGATCTAATTTAGGGGCAATCTGGCTGATGCTCAGATCTCAAATGGCTGGAAAGGCATGAAGACTGAGGTATTGGCTGGAACGCCCAACAGTTCCAATTCAATTAATATGTTGATCAAACAAATCACCTTCCTTCTAAAGTCATTGGGGATCATCCTTGAAGATCAGGCTATAGCATCGGGCGCCATAAATGAGGGTTTGAAGCCCCCTTTTGGCAATTTAGGTGTTGCAGCTGATGGGATGCCACTGACTGAATGAACAGCCCTGCAACTTATTGTGGGCGGGTTGGGCATCCCAAACCCATTCCCAACCAAATGGACCCGCCCCTATGTGGGGTGGCCTTGGGGGATTCCCATCGCTCGTTGGGCTAAATGCTGTCACACCAACTGTCGCAAATGTAGCTGAGCCTCAGTTTGGATGTTCAAGGTCAAACTGATAGCGACTCAGCCTGCTGCCAAATTTTTAGATGTCAGTTCCCAAGGAACAAATTCGCCCATTCCCAAATAATTTGCTGGTTAGGTCAAAATTGAGGGTCCCAATCCTGGCTTGTCACTACCCCAATTGTCCACTATTTAATCAGTTGCATAGCACTGAGAAAATTGTTGGTCGATTCTCTTCCTTTTCCCTTAATAAAATTTTTGCCAAAAAAACCAAAACAATTTTTTATTTGTATTATTCCTTCTGACCACATCACTGATGGCCTTTCCCTAGTAGCCTGTCAGTCTGTATACCTGATGGGCTCTACCAGTACTCTTGATCACTATGGCCTCCTCCATCGTCAATTGGATTCAGCAAGTCCAATATTTTTGGCGCTACAACCCCATTATTGTGAACTTCCAGTTCAGTACATAGGCATCTTGTGGCCTTACATTCACCAATTGCAAGAGAGAATTTGTCTCCTTACTTCCTCAGTTGAAATGACCCCATATGCCAAGGAACTCATCGAAACTATCTTAGTGATCCCACCCCCTGCAGCAAGGCCCCTGGGTCAGGAGTGGGTTCATTGTGGTTCATTGTTGGGATCATACTCACGGTTGTGCTGCAACAACAATTCATCATTTCCCAATGCCTGGCTCCATATCAAGTCGTTCAGTCAGCAATGCCTCTGGCATTCTCACTTGTTTATTGAATGCTTATGCATCCTGACTGGCAGGCCAGTCTAAACTTCTTCTGCCGTTTCCATGACAAGACTCAAGAGGGCTTAAACCTTAGCTGGCGAAGGAGGAAGCTAGTAAGATGATTTGGCCAGGTAATAAATGAGATAACCAAGTTTTTTTAGGGATGGTTGATTACTAACGGCAGTTTGTTACTAACTTCAGTTGTATTGGGGCACCGCTCTTTGAGTTATAAAAGAAAAATACCATCTTTTACAGGATGTAACGATGAAAAAACACTTTGATGTCTTGCAAAACCATTGGCGAGCGCACCCATTTTGCAATTTCCAAACTTTGAAAAGCAATTCATAGTGCAAACTGATGCATCACTTTTTGCCTTAGGGGCAGTATTATCTCAGTGGGATGATGAAACCGTAGAGAACCCAGTCGCCTTTTGTAGCCAAATCTTAAACTGTCATGAACAAAATTACACCATGAAAGAGCGGGAGTGCTTAGTGGTACTATATGCATATAAACAGCTTTGGGTAACCACCACAGGTTAAAATTCCAAGTGTTAATGGATCGAGCATCTTTGTATTGGCTACAAAATCTCTGTGAACCTGGAGGTTGGCTCACATGATGGTATTAAAAATCTTGGGCTTTCTTGCTCGCTTTTCAGCCCTGGATTTCAACTGCACAGATTCGTGGATCCTGGCGTTGATTATTTGATAGAATGGGCATTAATAGTATAAAGACTATTACTAAGTTGATTTCCCAAAGCCACATTAAGAGTAAAGTTTATTGCTAAACTGGTGTTTCTTCTTCTTGAAAATCTTCTGGTAGTAGGTTGGGACCACCTAGTGCTAAAAAAAGAAGATTTTCTGGTAGGGAACACTTTCCCTATTCCCTTCTCGCAGAGCCAGGTGGAGATTTTGATATTTTTAAACTAAGGATATCTGATCCTTGCACTCTTCTCTTAAGAGTAATGTTAAAACATACAATGTTTAAACAATTAAAGCTGGGGGGTGGTAGGCAAGTTGGTAAGGGCGTACAACTACCAACTTGAAATTTGTGGGTTCGATTCCCACCCTTTGCACATCAATTGGGGTTCCAGCCAAAGGAAGCTATTGGCGGTTAGTAGGTCTAATAACATGAAAACCTTACCCATGATGTAACCAGAAAAATTTGAGTCCCGATCTGGAGGTGGAAAAACTTTCTTCAATAGATTTGACCCTGTTCAGGTTTGATGTCATTTCTTTCTTTCGTTATGCCTATCCCCTGGTCAGCTTGCCTCAGTTAAATAAACAATTAAAGCTAATATCAGTTTAAATCTAATTTTTATTAGGGAATTATGTGGGGTGCTTATAGTTAGAATCAGCACATAACTTTTCAGCTGTCTGATGAGAATATTTGTGCTCCTATACTGGTTTTTCCCCTTAGTGTTAAGTACCAAATCTCATTGGGTACTGTTGCCTTAAGTTTTCTAGGCCGCGTAATCCTTGGGCGTTTGACGGTCCAAACAATTGGTATTAGGTACATGAAACCAATTGTTTTAACCAATGACAATTCCACTTTTCCTCTGGCATTCAAACGTTTTGGTATTTTCTTATGACTCTAATCCATTCTGTTCTGAACGATTCCCTATAATTCAACTATTGGGGATTATCCCAATATCAAATTATTGCTTGATTTAATTGGGGATGATGCCCGATGAAATTATCATCTATCGATGGCCTCAAGTTTCATTGGGGATGATTCCCAACGAGATTGTCATTTATCAGTGGCCTCAATTAGCATTGGGGATGTTTCCTGTTGAAATTGTCATCTGTTGGCGGCCTCTATATCATCAGGGATTTCGCCCAACAATATTCTCATCAGTCAGCAACTATTGCCAACCCTCTACAATATAACATAATCATTAAATCTCATATTTTGTCAAAGGGTTGGACTATGTGGTCATCTGCAATTCTGACACATCCCCCTTCCTGACCAGATATCCAATGGAAGATAGAACCTTCAGGAATAGAAGCCATTTCAGCTGAAGCTCATATTTGGTTTGTCATATTTTTATGTCCTCAGCGTAGTGCAGCTCTGTCCACACTCAACGCCTATATGCTATGCTCAGTTCAATGACTTCATATCCTTAATACTACCTGTTTCTGCCTCTTCTCAAGTGTGGTTCCCGCAACATCATTCCGCGCCAGTCCCATCTTTGCATCAGTTGTGAGTGATCAACTGGTCCACCTGTATGAACCCCAGGATGGGTTGTTGGCACTCTTGCCACCTGTGCAAACCCCAGGATAGGTTGTTGGCACTCTTGCCACCTGTACAAACCCCAGTATGGGTTGTCAGCTTTCTTACCACATGTACAAACCCCAGGACAGGTCTCAACATCTTGTTGATAGGTACTATTCCGGCAGACCTAGTTTATCCCTTTCTGATCCTGCTGAGGCTTGGGACTCATGCCCGCTGCTATTCCTTCCTCCACACTCAGTAGGTGTGAATATTGGTAGATGCATTACTGTTCGAATTAAAATTGTTTTTAATATTTTCTACTTTTTTTGTATCTTTAAGCATCTTTTTTCTTTTTTCTTATTATTTTTTTCATTTCTATATATATTATTTTTTTCTAAGTCCAATACTTTAAGTATTTTGCGTGGACTCTATTGACTATGTGACCATCCTCAGTATTCTTGATCATATAGGCATCATACGCTGACTTGGTGATAATTTTGAACATTCCCATCCATAGGGCGTCCAACTTATTTTTTTCTCCTGAACCCATGAGTATTGCAGTAGGCTACCCTATTGCCCACATGGTATTCTTTCAATGGAAGTTGATTCTGGTCATCCATTTTCTTCGCTTTGATTCTTTTCCTCAATGTCATATTGAATGCCCAAGATTGTAATTCAATCAGGATATCAGCCAGTCAGGATAGATAATGTTTGGCACTCATCCCTGAAGATGGCTCTACTGCTGAATACAGTATTGGTGGCAATGCAGCTTTCCACCCATAATACAGTTTAAATGGCGTTTACTCAGTCACCAAATGATAACTGATATTATAAGTGAAAGTGACCAAAATCAGATATGCTCCCCAGGCAGAAGTTTTCCCCACAACCAATTTTTGTAAGGTTGAGGCTAGAGTTTCATTTACTATTTCCACCATTACATTTGTTTCTGGATGATAGGGGATGGATACAACACCGCAGATTCCCATTAATTCATTAAGCCTGGGAATCACATGTGAAGTAAAGTTGGTTCCATTGTCACTGAAAATGACTTGAGGGCATCCGTGCCAATAGATCACTTGGTCTAGTATAAACTTTGCCATGCTTATTAAGTCTACTTTGATGAGGGCTCTCGTTTTGACTCATCAGGTTAAGTGATCTATTGTGATAATAATATACTTCACTCCTCCAGTGCTGATGCTTAATGGTCCCATAACGTCTAGGGACACCGTGTGCCATGCAAAACCAGGGCATACTAGCCAGTATCCTATGATGCTCTTGTGTGGTTTGTGAAGCTGACATTCCACACAGCAGGCTAGGTAATCCATGATGTCGTAATTGATCAATTCCCAGTAATAATACTGGCAAATATGATCCACTGTTTTTTTAGGCCACCATGGCTGATGACCTTGTGAGCGGCTCAAATGATTTCCACTCGTTCTTATGGTTTAGGAAATAAAACCTGTTTTCCTTTGATTGTTTTGTATAATTGATTATCCTTGAATTTTAGTATTTTCTGTGGCTTTTCATAAGGCGTTCCAAATTTCACGGGTTCATCCCTGATATCTCCTTTGATCATCTGTTGGAATAGTGCATCCGCCTGATGGTAGATCACATGAACAACCAGTAATCAAGACAATCCGTTAGCATTCTGATGTACCACTCCAGCCCAATGGATAATTTCAATATCATAGGCTTGCAGTTTTAAAGCCCATTGGGCCAACAGGCCTTCTGGTTCCTTCAGGTTATAAAGCCAGTGCAAGGATGAGTGGTCAGTTATGACTTTGAAGTGCATTCCATGTATGTAGACTCAGAATTGTTTGCAGGCATGGATGACCGCCAGACACTCTTGCTCCATCACAGTATAGTTTCTTTCCGTTAGCAATAGTGTTCTACTCACATAGGCTACTGGACGTTTGTCCCCATTGACATCTAATTGACTTAGAATGGTTCCAATCGCCATTAACAAGGCATCCACTTGGATGATGAACTCCCAACTAAAATTTGGGTATTTCAACACTGGGTGCTCATGAGATATTTTTAGAGCTTATCAAATGACTTCTGAGCCTCTTCATTCCACACAAATCCTTTTGGATCCTTGAGTAAGAAATAGAGGTTTGGTAATTCCAGCAAAGTCTTTCTTGAATCATCGATAGTACCCAACCATTCCCAAGAAGACTTGAATATCCAAACACTTTTTGGGATTGACAACCACTTAATAGCCTCAATTTTCATGGGTTGCAGTTGTAATCTGTTAGAGTTTATAACAAACCCTAAGTATTCGAGTTCTTTTTTAAAAAGTGGAATTTTCTTAGCTTAATTTCTAGATTAGCCATTGCCAACCGCTTGAAAACTTCCTCCAGATGCTCCAAATGATCGGAGAAGGCCTACAGAAGATGTTGATATTGTCTAAGTAGACTAGCACGAAGGATAGCTTTAGATCACTAATTATTGAATCCATAGCTCACTGAAAAGTCGCTGGCGCATTGCATAATCCATGGGGCATTCTGGTCAGCTGGTACAGTCCTTGTGCGGTAATTATTGCACAAATTTTCCTGATCTTCTTTTAGAAAATCGATTTTCCAATAGACCAAAATCAGGTCCATAGCCAAAAAGTATTTCGCCTCCCCCAGGCAATCAAGCACGTCAACAATTTGGGGCAGCAGATAGGAGTCTTTTTAGTGATCTTGTTTAGTTGGCAATAGTTGATCACTACTTGATTTGATCCGTCCTTCTTTTTTTCAACAGGATTGGACTCGCCCATGGACTCAATGATGGAACAAGTAACCCATGTTCCACCAACTTGCTTATCTCATCGCTGACCTCTGCTTCCGCTGTCCTTGACCTACGAACAGGTCTCATGTTTATCAGTGGACATTCCCCCGTATCAACTTTGTGGAGTACATTTTTTGCACATCCTAAGTCAAGATCATTCTGAGTGAATATTGTCCAATATTTTTCAAATAAATTGTAGCACGTTCTCCTGCTGATATGTAGTCAGATTGGCTAGCTGCTCACGATCCACTAATATGTTGACACTTTCAGTAACTCCTGCCAGCAATCCCATTTCAGAAAATGATCCAAATTTATGAAAAGTGTATAGTTCCACCATTGGGAGCAAGTGCAGATATGCAATGGTCTGATTTTTTCAATTTCCATTGGGTTTTCTCACAGATTGGCTACTAATACTTATATTTCTTCATGTCCTGGCATTAAGATCCCTGGCGCAACCTATGATTTAATCCTTGATTTTTCTCAGGGATTAATTTCTTCATAAATTTGTTCAGGAAGTTCCACCATTAACCCAGTGTTAACTATGATTTGAGCCCCCAATGGAAAAGTGTTTGCTGCATTCGCCCTTAGGGGTATTCCCTGATTCTCCATAATTTCTGTCAGCATTTGTTTCCATTTCCATCTGATTAGTTTATAGTGAATGGGTATAGTACATCACTAAAAATTAAATTGAATAAATTATTCTTCTTTGTCAGCGGAGTTTCTCCTTTCTACTGATAAACCAAAGGCAACTTCTCCCCTAATGTAATCAGGGTATTTTCTTCAAAATTGCATTTCACCCCATACTTCCTTAAGAACACTGTCCTGATAAGTATGTCATAGTTTGGATTGGCCAACACTATAGCAGGGGCTGACACCATCAGCGATCCAAACTGAAGTGGTAGCGCACTGTAGGCTTCACATGAGATGGTAACATCTAGTCCAGCCATTTCATACTCTTTATTGGTACTCCAAATCCAGTGAGATTTTCATACATTTTACTAATTTGGTGGAAATGATGTTGATTGGCGATCCACTATCAATTGTGGCACAGACTCTAAACCTATTAACTAGAATATTGACATAGGTACA